ATCGATACAGGGATGATGGGAACACTCACCTCCACCATGTTGATGAAATGCAGGAAGAATTCCTGCGCATCCTGCTGTCGGTTGGTCGAGAATTCTGGGTGACCCCGCCCCACCAGGGTCTTGAACATCCGCGGGGCGATCCCGTCCTGCTCCACCTGCCGGCGAGAAACAGCGGCCGCGTCAAAACGCGCAGTGCGATCCTGAAACCTCGAAGCCCGCATACCCGCCAACCTCACCACGCAACCCCCCACCCGAAGTCTTCTGGGTCTGCGTTGACCCAGCCTGGTGGCGTTTTGAGTTTGGAACCTATGCCCGATGTTAATAATTAACACGCAGCTATATTTTGCAGCCATGGGGATTCCGTTTGCAGTGGTTCGAGACAGCCATCTTCGGAACGAACAGCTTTTCAACCAACAGCGGGAAGGCGTCACACACCCGAGCGAGACGAAGAGTCTCTCGGTTTAGTCGGGCAGGTTCTTTAGTTCTGGTTTAGGGCATTCCCGGGTGGGAGATGCTTGACCGCAGCTGTTGGGATAAAACCCAGAAGAGATCCCGAAGCAGAGTCTGCTCAAACAAATGGAATACGCGACAGACGGTAGGGGCGTGAAAAGCGCCGGGGATCAGCTGGATCTTGCTGTGTGTCCGCCAGTCCCTTCAGGTATCAGGACAGTTGGATCAAACGGCCTTGGATCGCATTTTGAACCAGGGAGGTTACACTGGGATTGTATAAATGGTCGGTAAAGCCAGTGCTGGAGTCTTGTGTGCACATTATAGGAAGGATGTGATCGCACTGGAGAGAGCACAGACGTGATTTACCAGCATAAATAAAAACCAAAACAAAAACCAGTTCTGAGGAAGGGTCATCGGACCCGAAACGTTAACTCCGTTTTCTCCTCCACAGATGCTGCCAGACCTGCTGAGCTTTTCCAGCAACTTTGTTTTTGTTCCAGATTTACCAGCATGTTGCCCAGGGGCCCTCATTGCTCGCAGTGCTGCTTATGCAGCAGAAGCTGCAGACGAACTGGAGGCAACGAGGGGAGGCCGCAAAACGGAGATGGCGTGCTCGCCAGTGCGGAAATCAGATGGCTGGGGGAATCTCTCTGTTCTCCGCAGTAAAAGCCCAGAAGAAAAGCAGCTCCTCGGCAGTGACCGACACGTCCGGGCTTTATCAGCGTGGGGCCGGTCACCCTGCGCCTCGTGCAAACCAGCGAAGGCTCACGGAGGAGGAGGAGGAGGAGGATCGGGAAGCCTCCTTCTGATCAGCGACACCCTGCGAAGAGGCAGCTCTGCGCTGCTTTCCCCGTTTTCTCCTCTATCCCTAACACCCATGTCTTTTTCTTCCTGCCTCTGTGTGTGCGTGTGAGAGAGACAGAGACAGAGAGAGATGTGGATTGGTGGGGGAGGTGGGGGGTGGGGAGCGGGGAAGTGGAGACAGAGACTTTACTACAGGATCAGAGTTTTAACTTGTGGAGTTAAGCTCCCATGTTCCCTATCTGTTTCAGAAGCAAATTGCTCTAATTAATGTCATGATTCGTGGTCCTTGTTCAGAGTCAGGATACTTTGTCTGCGCCTTTGGCAGACCTAGGTCAAACTGACCGGTCATCTGGGGACGGCCGAAATCGCTGACTCAGAGTCATGCAGCACAGAAACAGACCCTTCGGCCCAACCAGGTTATTCCGACCCAGTTTCCTCATTCTAGTCTCATTTGCCAGCATTTGGCCCATATTCGTCTAAACCCTTCCTTTTAATACACCCATCCAGATGCCTTTTAAATGTTGTAATTGTACCAGCCTCCACCACTTCCTCTGGCAGCTCGTTCCATACACGCACCACCCTCTGCGTGAAAAAGTTACCCCTCAGGTCCCTTTTAAGTCCTTCCCCTCTGACCTTAAACCCTTGCCCTCTAAATTTAGACTCCCCCAGCCTCTCGTGATTTTATAAACCTCTATAAGGTCACCCCCCTCAGCCTCTGACACACGTGCACGCGCATGCGCGCGCACACACACACACCCCTCGCGCACGCACACCACCCCCACGCAAACACACACACAGACACACCAACCCCCTACATTCAGGAAGGCGCAGTTACAGCTTCCTTTAGCTTCCTGGGGGTCGGGGCCGCCGTGGTCTGTTCCGGTGGCCCTTTGGAATGCTCCCCGGAGAGTAGACCGTAGCCCAGCTTCGCTCTGACACAGAGAGAGAGAGGGAAAGAGAGACAGAACAACACAGGGAGGCGTTCAGAAACAGGGGGTGGGGAGGTGGAGTGACCGAAATACCGAGAGCGCGGTGACACCCACCCGACACCAGGCGGGGTAACAGAACCAGAACGAGTGATGGCGGAGGGCGGGGGGTATCAGCGACGGGTAGGCAGAGTAAATCAGCCAGCGGGTATCACTTACAGCTGGGTGTTGAAATCCTGTGTGGGGTCGCTCGGACAGTCTTTGAAAATCTTCTCGCGGTTGGCGACGTACCTGAACAGGGGTGGGGGGGGGGTGGGGAAGAGAGAGAGAGACTGTGAGTGTGTGTGTGAGAGAGAGGGAGAGACAGACAGGCAGGGGAGGGAGAGACGGACAGGCAGGGGAGGGAGACCAGGAAACCTGACTCACTTGGTCTGAAAGTCGGGAATACTGAAAACGACCTGCATGACAGAATTGAGGTAGCAGCTGTTACCCAGGTTCTGCAGGCCTGTGTACTCCGGGCCATACAGCGGCTTCAGGTGGACACTGGATTCCTGGATGGTCTCCCACTCACCGATTCGCTGGTTCATGTCAATCTCCAGCTCCGTCATGGTCTTGTCAGTCTGGACCCACACACGTCAGCAGGGGGCGGGGGGGAGGGGGAGCAAGAGCGAGACGGAGGGAG